GAGAATTCACGCAGTGCTCGACAGAGCTTAGCATATGTTCCTTAAATTTGAAGTGGAAAAACACCTACGAAGTATAAAGATTCTGATATGTAGGTAAGGTTCACTAGTAGATGAACTCACCGAATGCAGCCCAAAGCTCATCCGAAACTGCTAATGATGTTGGCAACCTTCCTAATGACTGTTTGCTACATTCCATCCCTCTCAAAGGTTCATATATAGTTTTTAATTTATTGTCTGGATTAATGGGTCATAAACCTACAAGATGTCAATGCGGGATGCATAAAGTCTATTGGAAAATATGGTTGTGGTATGACTCTAAGTTGCAACACAGAGTCATATTAGTGCTGATATTGTTCAAAGCAGCGGAGTTGGTGAATTTCAGATTAGTGAGCCTAGCGAGGGCTGGGGACTCTTCATTTCCATCACAACTTGCTAGCTCTCTGTAAGATCAAAGTTGCTATGGAAAAAATTGGCACCATTAGCAATTTTCTTGATGCAAAGAACACTGTAATAGCAAAGACACACTAATTTAAAGCATGATAGAGAACTTCGACCATGCACCTTATCAAGAATATCTAAAATCCACCTAAACCTCTTGCTGCACATGATGGGAAGTTGTATGTTAGAATCACTGGAGGCATTGAGGGGTTTTCCTAGAGAAAAATGCTGGAAAAACCTTAATAGTGCACCCCATTTCTTTAGTGTTTTCCCATGAATTGTGTTAAAACCTTAAAAAATGTTGGTTATCTTTTGGTTTTCCTTCAATGTTTGGGAAAACACTGAAGAAATAGGGTTGACTTCTAAGATTTTCTTAACATTTTTCTCAGCAGAAAATCCCTTGGTGCTTCCTGTGAATGTACTGGTCAAGCTCAGTAGTGAACGTGTCACATTGGCAAAGGTGTTTAGAGTGTTGTAGTGAGGATAGCAAGGCTCATTTTCCATACTAGATTACTACCTCACTGTAGTGTGGAACACTGCTATGGAAAAAATAAGCGCCGTTGGCAGATTTCCTGATGTAATATGGATTGGAGTCATATTGTTTCAATTTGAGATGCTATGTAGTATATCTGCATTTGAAGGGAAGTTGATTTCAAATGTATCCAGGTACGAGGTGGTGTAGAAG